TCCTCCTTACTTTCACCTCACAGAATTGCTCACTTCCTTCAAGATGCAGCTCAAAAACCACCATCTGCCCAATTACTGATGCCCTCTCTCTAAAATACCTTGTATTTATCCTTTTTCTGTAAATATTTATATATGTACTTCCTGTCTTCCTCATTAGAAATGTAAAGCCCTTCAAGACCAAGGATTATTTACTCTTTGTAGTTTAATTCCCAGTGCCTAACACAGTTTCTGGTACGTAATAAGTACTTAATAATTGCTTGTTAATCAATTGATTCCCCTGATCTAGCAGTTTGGTAAAGCTGTAAAAAAGAAGTTTTTCATCTGGCATGATCTGTTCTTAATGAATCCATGTTGGCTCTCTGTGATCCCTTTTCCCCCCTAGATGTTCAATCACTATCCCTTTAATAGTAAGTTCTAGAATTTTGTCAAGAATCAAAGTCGATATCGCTCACCTACAGTTTGCAATCTCCATTCTCTTCCCTTAAAATAATTTTTGTACATTTTCCCTTATTCAATTCTTCCCTCCTCTAATACCACAATTGTTCAAATATCACTGACAATAGCTCAGCAATCACATTTGCCTGATGTTATTTGGGCCAGGTGACTTGGATGCTCTCTTAGAATTTCCTTACTTATTTGGAGTATCAATTCCAAATTAGCCATTTCTGTTTTGTCCTTTCCAGTCCAAAGATCATTACCCTTGGAAGAAAAAATAGAAGAGAAAATTAAATTTGAGTAGCTCTACCTTTTATTTGTTAATAATGCCCAACCCCAAGAAGTGGTATGATCACATCTTAGCTCCGCTTGATCTCCAATTTAGACTACAAAACTCAACTTTATATTATCCTTAGTTTATCTAAGGATGAAATCTCCTTTATCTCCCATTGCCATTTCCAGACTTAGACTACCAACAATATTTATCAAACTTGTCTCCTTTAAGATTCACTTTATTCAGCTCCCAGTAGTACCTACCTGGTAGGCCCCTGGACATTTTCCCTCCTTCCTCAATATATTTAGTGCTTGGCTCATAGTCTCACTCCCTACCCAAACTCCTGCATAGGTTATTTCAACATACACATTGATATTCCCTCATATATCCCAACTTTCTAATTCCTCAATCTACTAAGCTCCCATGATTTACTACTCCACTCCAACTCCCAGAAATACACAATCATAATTTCAACTTAATTCATCTCTCCCTGTCCCTTCCTCCTAGTTTAGCTCTCTGCTTCCCTCAACTCTTGAATCCCTTGCTTTTTTATCCTATCACCACTCATGCCTTAACAAATGCCACCTCTATATTGTTCGGCCTCCCCATCCACCTCTTCCAGTTCTACGCACATGCTGCCGAACAGAGTTGGAGTCACTCAACCACGCTAAGCCCACTAACAATGTTATTTCCTCTCATCTGGGGCCTCGCTGAAGCAAGTCAATCCTTTTACTGTTGTTTTATTATCTATCTCACCCTGACAATTCCTCTAAACCTTCTCTTTACTCTGCTTCCACAGCACTCCTTTTCATTCTCATAGCTCAGGGCCTTGCCTCATACTTTGGAGAAAATCAAGACCGCTTGCCTTGAGACCCCTTATTTCCCTTTTTCATCAGATGAAACTGTCCCCCATTATCTCATTTACTCCAATCCCTGATGAGGAGGTGGCCCTTCTCCTCATGCAAGGCCCCTACTCTCATCCCCTCATTTTCAACAGATTGCTCCTATCATGATCCCTTTCCTTGAATATTCAACATCATATCTACTAGTTCCTTCCATATTGCCAAAACACACCCTAGTCTCTACCATCATTAAAAACTTTCTACAGATCCTACTATCTCTATCAGCTGTCATCCTATATCTCTCTTCCCTTTCTCAGCCAAACTACCATCAGAAACTATTTATTCTCATTGCCTCCACTTCTCCTCTCAAATATCTTCTAAACCCTTTGCAATCTGGCTGCTGACCTCATTACTCATTAGAAACTGCTGTCTCCAAAGTTACCAGTGATCTCAAATGCCAAATCTAATGGGCATTTTATCATTCCTCGTCCTTCTTGATTTTTCTGTGGCATTTAACACTAATGACCATCCTTTCCTCCTGGATCCTCTCTCCTCTCTCAATTTTCATGACATTGCTCTTTCTTGGTGTCACCAGCTGACTGTTCTTTCTCTATCTCCTTTGCTGTATCATTATCTATCTCATACTCACTGAGGATGGAGCTCAGTTTTGGGTCCTCTTCTCTTTTTTCTCTACTCTCTTTCGGTGAACTAATCAGCTCCCATAGGTTTGATGATTATCTCCATGCATATGACTCAGTTTACAAATACATAGATTACACACGTATAGATGTACATATATTCTATATATGCATACATCTCTGTGTGAGTGTGTGTGTGAGAGAGAGAGAGAGAGAGAGAGAGAGAGAGAGAGAGATCAAGTCTAGTTTACCTCTTGTATTCTACTCCTGTATTACTAAATGCCAATTGGTCATGTCAAACTCATGTCCCAGACACACCTCAAACTCAGCATGTCCAAAACCAAACTATAGGCACATCGTTTTATTGTGCTTTGCTTTATTGTGTTTTGTAGATATTGCTTTTTTTTTAATAAACTGAATGAGGTAACCCTGCATCAAGCTACTCTATCAGCGCTATTTTTCCAACAGCATGTGCTCACATCATGTCTTTATATTACATTTTGGTAATTCTTGTAATATTTCAAACGTTTTCATTATTATTATATATGTTATAATGATCTGTGATCAGTGAACTTGGATGTTACTATTATAATTGTTTGGGGGCACCACAAACCGCACCGATATAAGACATTAAACAATAGGTTAAATGTTGTGTGTTCTGACTGCTCCACTGACTTGCCATTCCCCCCATCTCTCTCCCTCTCCTCAGGCTTCCCTATTCCCCGAGACACAACAAAATTGGAGAATATTTCAAAAACTTAGTTGATAAAGTTGCAGCAGGGTTTGAGGATTAACTCTAATCTTGAAAGAAGTTCTACTGTGGGTAAAATGCTATCAAACAGCATCTCATACTATAGAGAAATCTTTCATGAAAAGAAGTCAATCAATGCAGCAAACTTCATTGTTGTATTATTTTAAGAAATTGCCACAGCCATCCAACCTTTAGCAACCACCACCCTCATCAGTCAGCAACCATCAACATCCAGGCAAGACCCTCTACCAGCAAAAAAATGTTACGACTTGCTGACGGCTCAGGAGATGGTTAGCATTTTTTAGCAATAAATTATTTTAATTAAGGTATGTACATTTTTTAGACAAAATACTGCACACTAATAGACTGCAGTATAATAAACATAACTTGTACATACTGGGAAACCTGAAAACTTGTGTGACTCACTTTATTGTGAGATTCAATTTACTGTGATGATATGGAACCAAACCCACAGCATCTCCAAGGTATGTCCACACTATCTTTATCACTAAGCCCGCTCTTATTCTGAACTTTCTTCTTCTTTCCAGTGAACGTACTTCCTTCCAGTTACCTAGGTTTACAACCTTAGTGCCAAGGCAACTCCTCACTCTCACTCCACATATCCGGGTCTTATTTCTATCTTCACATCTTTCCCAAATGTTCCCTCTTTTCTCATCACAGTCCCTATCCCAGTTTAGGCCCTTATCACTTTTTTTTAATCACTTCTTGCCTTGACTATTTTAAGAACCTCTTAATTGTTCTCCCTGCTAGTGTCTCTTCATGCCAATCCACCTATCTACCAAAATAATTTTTCTAAAGTACAGATTTGACCATCACTCCCTCCCCCTCAATAAACCATAGATGTTTCCTTTTACTTCTAGGATCAAATATAAACTTCTTTGTTCTGCATTTAAAGCTCTTCACAACCTGTCCCCATCATTTTATATATATATGTATGTATGTATGTATATGTTTCTCCCCATACATACTCCATGGTCCAGTCACACTAGCTTTTCCCCTCCAACATGATATCCAATTTCCCATTGCTATGCCTTAGAAATGGCTGTCTCCCATATCAGAATGCTCTTTCATCACCTCTGACTCTTGGAAAACTTGGTTTTCTTCTCAAGCATCACCCTCCGCCAGAAGCTTCTCCCGGCTTTCCCAACTGCTAGTGCCTTCCCCACACAGGGAAGTTTGTGTCTGTTTTGTATGTTTTTCTTATACAGACCTATATATGAGCATATTGTGTCCCTCAAATAGAATACAAGCTCCTTCAGGGAAGGAACTTTTTCACTTTGGCTGTTATCCCCCATGCCCATATAGTGATCACTTAAATGCTTGCTGGTTGACTTGCTGGTTGCAGCTCATTCTGTGACTTAGCTCGCCTAACATTTTTCAAGGACCATGATATACTTGCATATCCTTTCATTATATTCTTTTACTTACATCTTCTATACACATCTTTCAAATGTAAGTTGGTTGGTAAATTCCTTTTGCATTCATATTGGTCAGTTCCCCTTTCCCCCCTCATTATAATTACTCCTCTTTGTGTTTCCAGAAAATTTCTTGCCCATCCCTACTAGACTGACTTATATCCTATGGATTTTTAGCATCCTACCTAGCCTTCTCAAACCTCATTGAAAACTACTTTCACAAAATTTAGGTTGCAAGTCAGATAATTTCCACTTTTCCATCACAAATTCTATGCTAGACTAGTCAATCATTGCCAAGGTTTCCATCATTTCCACTTAAGAAACCAGTTTGTCCATATTGATAAGAATCTGATCCAGATTAGAAATTCCTCCTGTTAGTTCTTCAAAGTTTGAAAAATCAATGTAGATAACATCCTTCATTTATACCTTGGTAGATGATCTTTGAGAGATGCTGTGATTGAAAAACCCACGACCCTTCGGCCAAACTAGTGAAAAGCCTTTCCCAAAGCAGATAGGCTAGTCTTCAGACAACAGTCCACCACTGGGCTTTTAAATACGATATCCAAATAGATTTTGTGCCCTGCTTGGATAAAGTAAGGCATCTGAAATATCATTCGAGTAGGGGTGATTTAAATAAATTTATTTGAGGGAGAAAAAGAATATCTGAACATCAGGTATAGTCTGATCCACATTGATCCAGCAATACTTCATAACTCATCTTAAGCACATAAGCAAACAGTTTGTGAAACTTCATGTTGCAGCTGGTAAATGTTGATCAAAATTCATAAAGCAATCTAACCTGAGTGTTATACAATACATAATGACCATGATACAGTAAGAAAAATACAATATCAAATACTCACTACTCAGTGAGTTTCCAGATACAATACGAACAATTTTAAAACCTTTTTTAAATGAAAAAAATATTCTTATTAGAGCTTTATTTTAAGCATTTTCAATTAGATACAGCTTTGTACAGTTTTGATCACTCTATATATACCAAAGGAATTCCTTCGAAATTATTTCTAGATAAAATATATTATTCATTTAACTGTTTTCTCTGACAATAGCATCTGAATTTCATTTTGCTACATTTGAGTTTAGACCACAGAATCAGACAGTGTTGTGGCAAAATACCTTGCTTGGACTTGGGTGGTTTTCAAATATGGGCATCCTAATTTATGGAAACATTGGTTAAAGACATGTAGACATCCTTAAAGAACATAGACAGACATCATCACTATATCCAAAGAAACAATATAAATTCCAAAGAACAGACTCTCCATTTTGGTTTCAAAATGTGTGGTCCAAAGGCTGAATCCTTGACAATTCAAGAAACTGCCTGCTGATTTGCAACACAAACGGTGAAGTGGTTTGTTTGTTTTTTCTTTTTGTGCTATAGAGATGGCCACTGTAAAAACAAAAGTTCTGAGCAGTCCTTGAGCCCATCCATGTTAGAGGTGTGCAGCCTGTCAAATTGATCATTACAAAAAATGTGTTCACTGAATTGTACACATCGAGCTTCTAGGAGGGTTAATAGTTTTTGACACAGGCTCCTGATTGTAGTTTACAATATCTGCCTTCACCACCCTCTGTCATAAAAGAAAACAAAGTTATTATTGGAGTGTCAGAAACAAGCACAATTTAGAAGCAGCTCTAATACTTTTATTTTGTAAACTTTGCTGACTTCTGGAAACTGCACATTTTAACTGACGTGTTCTTATCAATTGAACAACTGATCAAAACAAACTACTGTATTGGTCAACTGCCTAAGAAATCATGCTTCAGCAGCAACTTGTATTAACTTAGTACCAAATGTATGCTTGAAATTGAAGTATGCATTATAATTTTCATATAATTCAATAGAAACTTTCTATCTTACTAATGAACTAAACATGACTAAATTATCACAAGAGAATTAAAATTAACCATTTGCAAATATTTGTTTAGGTAGGGTTTTTTTGGCTTATCAAGTTTCAATGGTAGAAAAAATATATTATGTGTTTATATGACAAATGCCATATACCACTAACCATATACAATACCAATACTTTTGTTGCCAGTGCATAATCATTTGCAAATGAGAAAGTAGAATATGTACATGTTATTGTATAATAACCTGTTATGATAAGTATATGAAGTATAAACACTCTGAGTCTAAATTTCATTTTGGTAAATTTAGAATAGTGAGATTTGTTGTTGTTTGTCCTTCATTCCTGAAGAGGACCATGATATCAGGAAGGTGATGCCATGGCTTGCAAGTGAATTGGACTTCAGTGAGGCAGGGCTATACAAAGTCACCAGCCTTACCCTCTCCTCCTGACCTACCTGGGTCCAGTGGCAAGGTATAGATCTGGATGACTAGAGATGGCCCAGTATGCAGTGGGAGACTTTGGCCTTTTTAAGCTAAGGTCTTTCCCACATCTCAGTTTGTCTGAGGCAATGCCCATTAAGTGATTATGGCTAGGTAAGAAATAAGGCCTCTTTTACCTATTTTTAAAAAAAATCAAACTGGGAGGAGAAGACCTTCAGGGGGCTTCTGGCCAAAACAAAAACAACTGCTACTTACACTCACTCTGAGCCATCAAAACCCAAACAATGATCAAGTGAGGCTTGGGTTGGGACCTACTATTGGCCAAACAATGACAGCCAGAGTGATATGGGTTTAAGGCATGGTCCTTAAAAAAAGGAAATCTAGTCCTTAAAAAAAGAAGATATCTTGCGGGGTTTTCAGTTATCAAAATTTACAACCCTTTGCGCAGAGCACCCACAGGTAAGGATATGATTCCCTATGTGGACAGAGGGAGGGAAGGAGAGAGGGAGGGAAGAAGGGAGAGACGGAGGAAGGGAGGGAGGGAGAAGG